AATCACCAATAGTCTTCCCATCCTTATCCCTTGCTAGTGGTGGATCCCATCCTTTGACAACAGATTTCACGATCTTTCTATCCACAAACTTAATAAATTCCACCATTATATCCTTCCAATAATCATAATTAGTTCCATCAAGAATTGGTGGTCTATTCAAAAATCCTCCTTCCCTGTCCATTGTACTAGAAAGTAACTCCTCTCAATCTCACCCAGAGTCAGAGCAGGATGTCTGCTCTGATACCAATTGAAATTCTAGTATACATATTAAAGATGTCCTAAAAGATGTCGAGACACCTTCTATTGAACTTGCACACAATGAACAATATAAATGATAAACACTGTGCATAAAAGTAAAGAACACACACAGAATTGTTAACCCAGTTTGTTGACCCACACCTACTCTGGAGGCTACCAAGCTAGGGACCAAGTTAATCTAATAGTATCAATTTGTGACCCACAACAAACTTTCACCTAGTTTACAATCTACTCACTTAATCACTACCCTTTCTTAACTTCTACCTAAGACTCACTTAAGTATGATACCATTATCAAATCCCTTCCAATCATAGTCACAATGATCGACCAATTCTAAACACGTAGAGCAGACACAAAAGTCACACTTCAAAGACACACAATCATTCACTACTTCAAAAATTTGGAATGATTGACAAAACTTAGAACTAAATAAAACAGTCCTACTCTTTTATCAACTAGATAATCGAAAGGCTCACAATAAGCACACAAACCCTATTAAAAATACAATGTATGTTCCACACTAAACTAGGTTAGTGATATTATATTTAAAGTCATCCTCTGGGGTGGATTGAGCTTTTCCATCGCAGCAAATCAGATGCTAAATCTCAGCAGAATCTTCTGCACATATTAGGACTTCAATCATTAGTTTCCTAAATTTTCTATTAATTTAGAAACTAATAATATTCCTTGTATCCAGCTAGAATCTTTGTCAATCTTCAACTTGTGCGTCACATAGGATAACAAAATATATCCAGAATATTATGCACCTGTAAAAACTAAAAATAACTAACATTCCAACTGTACAAAAACACGATATCATATGAACCTCCATGGGACATCGCATTTGACATGTTGCATCAGTTAATAGAACATCTTCATTCAACATGTTGCTACTAAGTTTTTTTTACCAAATATAATGCCAATCTTAGAAATAGAGAATTAACATTAAGGATGGAATCAAAGGATACATTTTTTATGACCTTACCTCAAACAATTTCTTTGCCTATAGAAATGTCATATTCTATAAGTCACGTTTCCATTTTAAAACACCTAAACATGTTCCACCATTTTCTCATACTGAGCATGCCACTTCTCCATCCTTTACCTCAGATGACCTTTTCACTAAACCTTTGCCTAAACAACCCGACCCTCAACTTGATAACCATATAAACCCTTTAACTTTTCCTAACCAACCTGGAATTATCATTGATTCTTCGTTTTTGTCTCTTGACCATACACCTCATTCTTCATCCCTTCCAACTATCTCTACTTCTGACACACCCCTTATCCCATCCAATGACATTCCTTCTGATCCTTTAACTCTTATAAAATCAACTAGACTGGTTAGAAAGCCTGCATATTTGTATGATTTTCACTGTAATTGTGTTTTACATACTAACAATCTTTTAGCTAACAATGTTGTATATTATTTATCATCTATTATTTCTCGTCTATATTGCACACCTTTATATAAAACCTTTTGTTGTTCTATCTCCACATAAACTGAAACAAATACCTACAAACAAGTCTCCCAAGTTAATTGTTGGAACCAAGCCATGAAGACTGAGTTACTCGCTCTTGATAAGAATTATATTTGGTCCATTGTTAACCTTCTACCAGGTAAAAGTCATATTGGCTGCAGGTGGGTCTACAAGAGTGTATAAATTTAATTTTAGTATTGAGAGACACAAAGCATGATTGGTAGCCACAGGCTACACCCAAATGGAAGAAGCATATGATTTTGACACTTTCTCTCCAGTTACCAAACTTACCACAATCATAGTTCTTGCCTTATACGTCATCAATCATTGGCGTCTTGAACAATTGGATGTTAACAATTATTTTTTACATGGTGATTTAAATGAAGAGGTTTATATGTACTTACCTCCTAGCCATCTTTGTTCCATTTCAAGTCTTCCTAAAGTCTGCAAACTTCACAAATCAATTTATGGTCTGAAACAAGCAAGCACAAAATGATACTCCAAGTTATCTCTAACCTTTCTTAACTTGGGGTAAACTCTATATCAAGCAGACTATTCACTTTATCTCAAATCAGATGCCAAAGATTTCACATTGCTTTTGGTTTATGTTGATGATATAGTGTTTGTTGATAATTTTAAGACAAATATCCAACATGTCAAACTTTTCCTTGACCACCAATTATGCATCAAAGATCTTGGCTATCCCATATTTTTCCTTGGTCTTGAAATTTCCAGATCAGAAGATGGCATTGTGGTTAATCAAAGAAAATACACACTTGAACTACTTGAATACACATGTTACTTGGGTGCTAAGCCATATGTCATCCTCCTCAATCCCGCAACTGAACTTTTCCAAAATGAGGATACTCCATAAAAGATCCTACTACCTATAGAAGATTTATTGGAAGACTCTTATATCTCACTCACATTATACCTGGCATTTCTTTTTCTATGCAACACTTAAGTCAGTTCATATCCAAACCTTTGACTCATTATTTCAATACAACAACCACCATTATTAGATATCTCAAATCATCACAAGGAAAAGGCATCTTCTACTCTAGCACTGCTCCAATTAAACGACATGACTTTGTTGATTCTGATTGGGCTAGATGTCCTGATTCTCAAAAATCTATCACAAGTTAATCTGCCTTCCTAGACACTTCACTCATCTCTTGAAAATCTATGAAGAAAATACAATATCAAGGTTCTCCATTGATGCAGAGTATTGAGCTATAGCTTCTCTCACATGTGACCTTCAATTACTTCACAACCTTCTCATTGATTTTTGCATCACACTTCCCCAACCTTCTTTCATTTATTATGACAGCAAATCAGCTATATACCTGACACATAATCCTACCTTTCATGAAAAAAGCAAACACATTGAAATAGATTATTATGTTATTCGAGAGAAAATACAAAGCAAACTAAACTTTCTTCTCCCTATCAGTCGTTTCCACCAGCTTACAGATGCTTTCCCCAAGCTCATTTTCTTGCCAACATGTCCAAGTTGGATCTATGTGATATCTATAGTCCAACTTGGGGATGTTAATTGTATATGTTTCTTGTTGTCGAAGTAACAGTTTTGTTTCACTATTTTCTATGGTTAGGAGTTGGTTAGAATTAGTTATGGAAGTTAGTTAGTTTGTAAAATAACTTCCTCTTGACCTCTCCATATATAAATAATCATCATTGTGTATTTTTTCATGTAACTTTCATTCATTTAATAGATGAGATGAATTTAGTAACCTCCAAATTACTCTATTAATACTCTGTCAACATCTAAGTACATCTGTTTAGAATACAATGACTTAATCAACTCCTAACCAACTCTGTTAATTTCTATTACAAGATTAACAAAGCATTTCCTCCGTATATCACTAACATAGAGTATCAGCTACTAGTCTAGGTCTTTAAAGAATCATTTGATGAAACATTCAATTTTGCAAGTCAATTTGCACATTCATTACCTGCATGAGAATATGATGAAAAGGAAGATGCCAATAATGATGACAAGCATAAGGCTAATGTGATTGCTCGAAGAATGAAACCATTAGTTTAGATATAGTTAAATTCAATGATAATATGGTTGAAATCTTATTGCTTGGTTAAAATCACTTCATCAAGATGGCACAAATTTCATATAACATGCTGGAAGCTGTCCTAAACTAGTTTAAAATGAAAAGAGGGTCTTAAGTAATAAGAGAGAATCATACAAGAAATTTTCATTGGTTCACCTTAAAACCTTAAATTTGAGCTACTTCCAATACTAACACTTTGTGAGATTTTTTATCATGTTGAGATGAGAACGTACTAATGATCCATAAATTGTTTGTTTGGAAATTCAGAAAACATCAAGAGTGTCAATGAATTTAACATACAAGACCTCTAAGAGACTTTGACACTTGAAGTACAAAAATCTCTCCCTCAAATGTGAATCACCTAACCGAACTATGATTCTGATACTACTATTGAGTCTGGGGAATGCAGAGAATAACAATGACTAAGAGATATTGATATCATATCTCCACACAATTTAAAACCATAAGTATATATGAATTATTTTTCTTATATATATCCAACATTTATGATTGTCGTGGAACTTAATAATGTAACTCACATGAACTCCAAAAATCTCACTCTCAAATATAAGTCACTCACATTACTAGCTTTAACTGACACTAAGACCTCATTCTCATTCTCGCTCTTCCACTAAACATAACCAAGGCTCCGATACTAATTGCTAGAGAATCCAAAAAATATTGAATTACAACAATCTCTGCCGCGAGTGGTAAATCATAGCTCGAAGGTTTGAAGAGTGTCGACAGTATAATAATGGGCTAAACATACTTTGAAATCACATGAGTCACTTATTCTAGTCGATGTAGTCTTAACCCATGATGTTTAAATTACAAGACAGATATATTTCTAAGAGCTAATTTATAAAAGAAGAGTCCTAAAGAACATTTAAAGAAATAACTATGTCGAATGATTCTATTTCCAGAAGAGAAAAACCTCTTAATCAACTTGAAATGAGAATATAGCGGTTGTACACATATATCTAGAAAACGGTTTAACTAACTAACTAGAAAACGGTTAAGAGAAGTTAATTAGAGTTATTTGTGAAGCAAGCTTTGAAATGAAACAAACACTGAAAATCCATTATTAAATATCTCTGAGTCTTGGAAGAAGCCACTATTTTGCATACTGTTTTATTCTTGTTTCTGCGAAAGAAGTTGAAAGAAAGCACAGAACACCATGGTTGGATCACCAAGATCGCCAAAGCCCGAAGGATCGAAGCCGATCGACATTCCTCAACCGTCCATTCGAAACATCCAACTGGACTCAATTGGCCATCATCCACCATCGGATTCTCCATTGCGAAACCGAGTTCCTCAACCACCTCCACCTTTTCTCTCATCAGGTCACTCTTCTTCTGAACCATCAACAGAAAACACAAACACTAGTTCTGAACCATCACCAACAACCTCTCCTGAACCCTCACCACCTGACTCTCCTCAATATCCGCACTACTATCTTCGAAAAGTTCCACCCCACTTTCTTCGTTTGCCACCTCGCATTTCGCAACCATCCTCTCCTCACGTACCACTGTACCCTTGGTTTAAAGCTATGTATCAACCACCAGCTCCTGAGGGTCAGCAACAGCCATTATTCCCTTGGGCTAGGGCTTTGACTCGGAGTCGGCACCAACCACCATCCCCTCCGCCGCCACCACCACCACCACCACCGCCGCCCTCTCCTCCTCAGCAAACTAATCAGGAACGTTTCCTCACAAATGTCATAATCTACATAGTCATTGTGGACATCTTGGCTCTTGGTTTTGGAGTGGTAGGTTCTTCTTTCTTTTTCCTTCTTTCTATTTTCTTTCTTTCTTTTTGTATTATGATCATAAATAGCTTTCATATCAATATGTAGAAAATTTCTTGATTTTTTTAAATGTGGATTAAATTTTTTGATTATTTTTATAATTACTACATATAATTAAGGAGCAAAATTAAGTGTGATGATGATTGTCTCAGGGTTGTTATTTTGTTCGAAGGACGTGATCACTCAGGGCTGGTTTAGCAGTTTCAAGCACATGTCACATATCAGAAGCTGAACCAAATTAATAACTTGTGGCAAAAGTTTTAGCTTAATTTCATTGAGACCAGTGTTAAATATGGTTTGTTAATTTGTTATCATTTACCAGTATTACTCAGTGTAGATTGATATATATACATAGATACAGTTTCTTTGGTGTTTACTATATAGTATATAGTAGATGACAGTGATAAATATATATGATATCACATTTGTTCTTGAATAAGTGGTTCTATTTCATTTTCAAATATTTTAGTTGGTTAATCATTCTTTTGATGAATTCTTAGCTTATAAAATGATGGACTAGTTAAAAGGATGTGAAACTTGTAATCTAAAAGGTGTAATTTTAATATCTTAAAATGTTAATTTTTGCATAAAATAATTGTCTAAATTATTAGATGACGGCAACATATCGAAAGGGGTGAACAAATATTTTTTTTTTTTAATTTTAAATAAAATTTAGGTTTTAAAAAGATATTTTATTAAAGAGCGACGTTGAAGCTTTTTCAAATTTATCGTCTATATAAGTTATTGAAGGCTCGGATATGCAAACCGTAATTAATAAAGTCAATATGAAATGAGAAAATAATCGAATTAATGAACTTGAATCAATCAACAACTTATTTATTGTTTATTCAAAATTACTAGCAAGACTATTTCCAATGACAATATTAAAAGAGCTAGTAGAATTAATTTATCAAACACTTGGTGTGCAAGTGAATTTTTAGAATTTTTCTTTTACTTGTGTTGATACACAAAACCACTTATAATCAAAAGTGATTATAAGTTATATCAACACTAGATTTAAAATCAAAAATTGATTAGGAAAATCCTTACAATTCAATTAATAACGCAACGATATTCGATAAATTGATCAATGAAAATCAATTCAAGTAAAAGCAAAAATAAAAGAGACACGGGGAATTTGTGTTCACAGTTTCTCACTGTCGTCCTCGCGTGTGGGTACGTCTGCGCCTAATTCCAATGGAATTAGGATAATTCTTACTATGCAAAATTATCGATACAAGAGAAGTGTTTAAGAGCAACTCCACAAACCATAAGCTTGTTGTTTATTGAATCTCTTCTCCTCTTTTGATTTTGAGAAAGACCAAGATATAATAGATGAAAATTGACTATCTGAATCTTGCTACTCCTTTGCGTTATTTATTTCCAAAGCTTATGGCACCGTAAATTTCAAACTATTGCAACACAAGACTTAAATCGTAATTCGCCATTCTCGCGCTACTTCCTTTGCGTTCTTTATCTCCAAAGGATCCCTTGCGTTCTTTATCTCCAAAGGACTTCACTTGACCACAATTACCTCTCGAACATCTTGCACGAAAATCCCCAAATCAACCAATAATCTTGGACGATAAACCTGATGTTTTCCCTAGATGAAAACCCCTACAAAGCTCAACCCAATACACAATTGGACACTATCAATCCTCTTCTAGATGACACCCCAACAGAATATCGATACAATATAATGTTAGTGTGTATGCATAGATGAGAGGTTGAAGATGAAGAGAGAAATATGTTAATTTTATGGTTTCACCAAGTTATGGATAATGCATGAAGGAATATTTATAGTTTTGGAACTTTTTGGACAAAAAGAATATGTTTGGAACTAAAAGGAATAAAAGAAATTGATCAAACTGACCTAAGTTCGTATGTATCGACACATACTTTATATTTAAACTGTATGTGTCGACCTGTGTAGAACTATGAAACGACTTGATCAAGACAGAGACTACATGCTTTAAACGATAACAAATGTGTTGACCTGAAATAATGATGTGTCGACACATAAAATGAAAAAAAATTCAATTTCATAAACATACAGTATGTGTCAACCTATGCAGAGCTTTGTGTCGACCTGAGACTTACAGAAGCTACAGGCTTTAAAATTGAGTTGTATGTGTTAACCTGAAAAGTGGATATGTCGACACATGCAACAAAAATTTAAGAAAAAACATATTTTTAATGACTTGACTCAATTTTAAAGTGACTTTTAATTATTCCCAAACAATCTATGACTACTAAATAATCAGGGTGCCACACTAAACTCAAAGAAAGTAACCAACAAAGGAAATGTGAACCTCTCGTATTTTTGACATCATTCAAAATACTTAAGGGGCCAAGTTTCACTCATAAACTCCCCCTTTTTTATGATGGCAAAAATGTGACGATCGCTTTAATGATGCTCCCCCTGAACGTGTATTTTCCTTCTTCATCATCGCATGTATCTTCTCCCCCTTTGACAACATCAAAAAGAGAGCAAAAACACAATTAGAGGTATCTTATCCTTCAATTCCCAACAAATCAATACATCATTTCATAAGCAATTTTGCATAAGAGAGTGTAAATATACATACATCATGATATATGTTATATCACTACTTATGATAAAAATAGATAAGCAATAAAGATAATTCATAACATAAAGCTAACAAAGTTGCATGCATTGTTCAAACACACCAGAAAAAGGAAATGAGAGTACATGAAACCAAACAATAAATTCTTTTTAAAAATGCAATGCATGAGAAAAAACAAAGAACTACTAGATGAAATGCAACACATCAGTCTCCATAATTTCCACCACGGCACCTTTAATATGTTCTTCCACTTCTGCGCATCTTCGTATAGAACACAGTTGCTTCATCACTATGTTAGACACCAATTGTCTAGAGGTGATTGAGTTTTCCTTGTATAACACCATCTGAAGTGTTGATCTCATCATGGATAGCCAGAACTTGTGCAGTAACAGTCGAGGAAAACGCCTCAAAGTTTGTATCTTAAGCGTCCAGTCTTGCATTTACTTGCCTGAATTGCTCATTTTGAGCATTCTGAAATCACTACGCCATTTCATTTTCGCTTCACGCTATTTCACTTCCTCTTCATATCACTAATTCTGTTGGAGCTACATGTTCCGAAGCAAGGATAAAATTTCAGAGTTGCTTCTAGTATCATCTCCATACCTATCTTGATATGAATCATCAGCATAACCATAAGAACCACCAGCATAGTTTCCATAATTTCCTCTTTGGGCAGTCCAAGAATTTTATTGCCATGGTTGCTCAGAGTCATGTTATTGAGCAGCTGTTTCATTCAACCAAATTTCATCTTCCTTATGATTTGCATCAGCAATGGGAATGTCTCCATGTAGAGCCCCAATAATATCCTCAAGACCATCATCATTTCCTTCATCTTCAACAACATCATAATATTCAGCAAGATCATTATAATTGTGAATTCTCCTCTTTATCTTAACCACCTCGAAATAGTCTTGTTCTCTTTGAGAATCCCAATGATATCTCATGTTATGCATGGTTTTCTTGGAGAAATCCAATCCAGTACTTGGGTAGATCAATGGGATGTTTGAGAAGCCAGTGTTAAAGAAATTGAGAATTTTAGCTATCATGGATGGGTAGCTAAAAGCAGTCCCTTTGTTGCACTTCTTAATTGTGAACATGCAAGCAACAAAGTAATACATCTAATTTATCTTTAAATGATTAAGAAGAAGATACACTAGATGTATCTTAGCATTATCAACCCTTTAAAAACCTCCACCTTTGGGACACAAAATGTGAGTAACAACCCAGTGTAATATACGGGGCAATTTCTTGAGATAACTCGTAGTAGTGGCATCATTGTTGTTGTCATCACGTGGAGTTTTCAACTGTTCATTTGAGTGCATCCTTCACTTGAAATCAGAATGAACACTCGAATCTTTAACCTTGGGCTCATTTCCAATTGTGAATCCAAAAAGAGATTTCCAATTACCATCTGTGAAGGTATGCAGTTTACCGCCAATCTCAAATAAAAATTAAGCAAAATTCTTCTTGCGTAACCTGAAATAAAAGATACGAACCAAATCTTCATTGTATTGTTGCATTAACTGGATAAAGTAGGTAAGACCTTAATGTTCTAGCTTTCTCATAACTTCAGGAATGTGAAGTTCTTCAGTTGCCTTTGTTTTGTAATAGTGTTGTTTGGCAACAATCATCCCACGACACTTTTCATTAAAGAATTCCATGTTCTCTTTACCAACCAGATCAAACACACTCTCAGAAGCAGTTGAGGAAGAGCCAACCATCCCCTTACTTCTTCCAGCGCCTCTACCTCTAGAAAACTTAGGAGCCATTTGCAATTTTTCACTTTCAAGTGTGCCTGCAAGGTGTTTGACAGATGTCCCCAACCAAGACAGTTGGATTTTCAGAGATATGTGAAATTTTAACTAATGAAAATGATGTTATAATGAAGATAAATATACAAAATTAACCAACCCACATTCAATTTATACTAATATGAATGAAAAGTTCAATGAATGAATGTACCTTGAATGTGGTGGAACTTGAATGACACTTTAGTGGAGTAGTGATGGAGATGAGCAATAATGGAATTTGTAGAAGGGTGTTTATGAGAGAGTTTATGAGAGGAAAGAGGATTTGACCGAAAAAATTCAGGTTCAATGTTAGGGTTTTAATTTGATTTAAGACACACAATAGAAATAAAAGAGTGTAGAATATGAAAAGGATGAGTATTCACTCCTTTTTGTATACACGTGTCAACCTAACTAACGGATGTGTCGACACATTCGTATCACGTGTCGACCTATACTGAAGCATTTATAAAAATGATAGAAAATTTATTTTATGAGTCGACCTATTCAAGTTTTGAGTCGACACATACTGAAAGAATTTTGACAAATTTAAAGGTTTTGAGTTTATGAATCGACACATGACTAACTCACTCGACTTATACTGGCTTTTGAATGAGTAGTATGATTAGTGTACATGCAACGATAAAATGTATCCATGTGTGAACAATATTTTTGTGTATGCAATCTTAGCAAAAATATATACATATACATCAAAGTAAGACAAACACACATAACTTGCATCATTTATCCAAAGTCCCTATAAACATGTAAATTAAAATAATTACGGATTCTATTAAGATTTTTGAAAGTGAACATAGGATCAAAAGAGCATCCAATGTGTATTTTATATATTCCGT